GGGGACTGGCATGGTAGCCTAGTGGCTGAAGTCCTTGCCTTACACATACTGGGATCCCATATGAACACCAGTTCTAATCCTGGCAACCCCAATTCCCAACCAGCTTCCTGCTTGTGGCCTGGGAAAGTGGTGGAGGATGGCCCAAAATCCTGGGACTCTGTACCCACTTGGGATTCTTGGAAGAAGTTTGTTGCTCCTGGCTTTTGGATTTGCGCAACTCCAGCCATTGTGGCCACTTGGGAGAGTGAATCAACAGATGGAAGATTTTTCTGTCTGAATCTCCTCTTCTCTATATATCTGACTTCCCAATAAAAATAGAATTAAAATGATTTAAGTCTTGGTAGCTAGGCTAGAATTGAGTGAAGGAAGCAGACTCATTTACTAAGTGGGAGGTAATGTTTCAAACACCAGCCAATCAGACAAACAGTAAATGCTGGGTCTTACTTTCCCTCACTACTTTTTTTTTTTACACAAAGGGCTAGATAGACATTTTTAGAGAAAAAAAATGCTTCAAGCTTCAAGTGTAGAGAAGTTCCTAAGGAGAAAAAGCCTCTAACAGGAGCAATACAACGTAGCATCTTCGAAGCTGCAGCCATAATGCCCCAAATAACAGCACAATCTAAGAAGGTCTAGGCTTCAATCCCCACCCCCCCCCTGCCCTTTGTCCTTTTCACTACTCACACATTGGGATTCCTACACTTTCTATCAGAGTGTCTGGTTCAAGTCCCAGCTATTCTTCCAGTACAGCTTCCTGCTAATTCATACTTTGGGATTCAAGAACCTGGCTCCTTTCCATCGACAAGACTGCATCAAGTGCCCATTCCTTGATTAGATCTAGAAAAGGAACCAGCAGATGGGAGATTCTCTTTCTTTCCCTCCATCTCTTTTGACTTTTAAAATTGGAGTCCTGACTTTGATACAGTGTGTGAAGCCAGAGCTTGCTTGTGAGCACTGGCTCAAGTGGTGGCTTCTCTGCTTTGCATCTACGTTCTTGCTGATGTGACTGCAAGGCAGTGTATGATGGCCCAATTACCTTGGACTCTGTCACTGTGTAGAGACCAGCATGGAGTTCCTGACTTCTCGCATCAGAACTGGCTTGGGACCATTTGGGGAGTGAACTGTTCAAAGGAGCAGCTCTCTCTTGATTTTTCCTCTCTCTGCTTTTCAAATAAATATATCTTTTATGTTTTTAAGAATGTGTTGGAGAGAAGCTAAAACATGAAAAAAAATAGGCAAAAATCTGTTAGATTTTGGAATTACCATGAAGTGATACTGAATAGGGAGTCACAAATGTGTAATGTTTATGAATACAGATATTTATGATAGTATGGCTTCATAACACAGAAAGGAATAATTGACCTATGGCCCTTATCTGATAATACTTTCTTATCTGCAGCTGCCTCACATGATACCTGTTAACTTCCATATTCCCCTTTCATCTCTTGGCAATAAATGACACTGAAGGAATCCTCACACTTCAGCACTACTTCTGGGTCATTCATCTCTACTCTAATAATATTCAATTGTAAACAATTATGACTATATATTACTTACTACCCTATGTCTTGCAGCATCTACCATCTCCTTGGTCATTATCACTCTATCAGTCGTAAGTCCCAGCAGCTTTAATACCCTGTAGGTCTTACCGATACATGGCTTTTGAGATTTTAAAATCTCTTCTCCAGTGGCTTAGTTTTTAGATGTTATTCAAACTCTCAAACTTGTTACTGTAGAAACAGAAAATTGCAATCTTTGCATCTAAATTCCAAACTCACCTTCCTTCCCTATGATATCAGACAGTTGAAAAAAAAATATCTAACACTAACCTAAAATAAGAAAAGGTACACAGGTAGAATTAGCTGATTGTCCAGGATTACTGTTTCCCTTCTTTACTAAATCATAACCACTTCCTGATTCTCCAGGGGTTTGTTCTGCTTTATGTTTTTCTTCTTATATCTGGTCACTTTTTCTATGGCATCCTTGGGCTTTGAATGTTGTAGACCCTGAAATGCCGCCTTATGATTCAGTCCTCACCAGGGTTTATTAAAGCTTTGCTTCCAGTGACCTAGAGCAGAAGATATTCTGTCTTGAAGGGTCATAGTAATACTCTGGAAATAAAGATGTTTAATCTAAGAAGCTACATGCAGCATATAAAGGCAAAGGTCAGGCCAAGCAATATGTGTCCATGAAAGAAAACAAGCTGGGCATTTTATTGGACAAGGTGGAACTTGTTTTGAGCATAGTTGCATTTAAATTTATAATCACTTAGGAGTCTTCTTAATCCTGAAAATAAAACAAAGACATTTCATTACAGAGTTCTGACGAACACATTTGTGAAGTAACTCAGATAAAACAAAGTGCCTTCAGAACTAAAAACAAATAAATAAGCTTAAATAAAATCAGTGTGTTATCCATGCTTAATGAAAGTCATAATTAGGTGCAGAATGTCACCCAAGACAAAAAAAATCAAAAAGACCAGGGTATGACAATACATTATTTATCAGACAGTATTTTTTTAAATTCATTTGAGAAGCAAGTAAAGACACATATGTACAGAGAGAGAGAGAGAGAGAGAAAGAGAGAGAGAGAGAGAGAGAGAGAGAGAGAGAGCATTTCTGTTAGCTCACTCCCCAATTACCAGAAATAGCTGGGGGCGCTAGCTGGGCCAGGAACCTGGAACCCAGACTTCCACCTCAGTGACAGGGACTCAACATTTGAATAACCCTCTGTTTTCTCCTAGGTGTGTGTTAGCAGAAAGCCGGAACATAAGTGGAGGTGGGACTCAAACCCAGACACTCCAAGATGGGATTTGGGTGCCTCAAGTGTCACACAAGCCATTACATGGTATGCTTTTAAAATATCTATCTATCTCTCTATCTATCTCTCTATCTATCTATCTATCTATCCATTTATCTATGCATCTGTTTGTTCATTATTGGACAACATTACGGAGAGAAAGAGTGAGAGGGATTTTCCATCTGTTGATTTGCTCCCCAATTGGCTGAAATGGCAAGGCGGGGGGGAACTCATATTTAAAGTTAAAACATGGGTTAAAATTGAAAATGATTGTTCCTTCTGGGAGTAGACCTCATTCCAATTTCCTCTTAAGTGAGCATGCATTGCTTTTGGAATTAAAAATCATTTTAATGAGTCTTTCCTAGGATAACAATCATATAAATATAACACCAGTATAAAAAAATTGAAGCAGCATTTTTATAGTGTTGACAGATGTCCTAATTTCTATCAGAAGCAGAATGGTACAATGTTGTGATATATTTGTATGTTGGTAGGAATGTAAATCAGTACAGTCATTCTGAAAGCTGGTACGGTGAATCCTCATAAAAAGAAAAGTAGAATTATTGTAGGATTCAGTGATCTCACATCTGGGTACATGTCTATAGGAACTGAAATCAATACATTGGAGAGAGATTCACACTTTCATGTCACTGTAACATGCTTCATAGTAACTGATTTTTTTTAAAAAAGCTAATGTCCATCAGCATCTGAATGGGTGAAGAAAATGTGGTATATAAACATCACAGAATACTATTTAGCCTGTAAAACTTAAAGAAGCACTGTCACTTGCAGCAATGTAAATGTGTCTAGAGGACCCTGTGTTAAAGAAAATAAGCTGAGAATAGAGAAACAAAAGCACATGGTCTCGTTTATGCGAGAAATCCAAGCTGAATTCCTGACAGAGCGAATGGAATAATGATTACCGGAGGTGGAAGCAAGGGAGTTTGCAGGAGAAAGGGATCTATTGTTCAAACAGTGCACAGTCTTATTCAGACAGGAGGAGTAAGCACTGAGTTCTGCTATACATTATGATTGCAGCAGATGTCAGAAAATTGCCTAGGTGATTTTTTATAAAACTTATTTGTTTATTAGAAAGGTAGAGTGAAAAGGAGTTACCCCTGATTTACTCGCCAAATGCTTGCAAGAGCTATAGCTGGGCAAGGACAAAGCCAGAAGCCCAGAACTCCACTTGGGTTTTCCAAGTGGGTGGCTCAGACTTAAACACATAGGTCATCATGCACCACCTTTCCTGGCACATTAGCAGGCAGCTGGATCTGAAGTGGTACAACCGTGACCCAAGTTGTCATTCTTATACAATGGACAATCCCAAGCAGCAGCTTGATTCACTGTGCTATAATGCCTGCCCTGAAAGAGCAGATTTTTAAGTGTTCATATTACAAAGAAATGATGTATTTAGAGATGGGTAGGATAATTAAACTGATTTGATCATTCCACAATCCATGCATACATTACAAGAGCATACTGTATTTCATGAGGATTTACCCTCCAGGTTGCATGTCAGCTAAATCCTTATAGTGGAGACAAATTCATATAGTGATCTTAGGTCACAATCAGATTAACATGATAGATATCTGCTATGAATCTGTATTTACAAGCCAGATTTCTAGTTTATCATTTGTATCCTAAGTAGCTTATTTTTATTTTAAGACAAATTCTCTAACAAGCCAATGCACACAATCTGAAAATTAACTTTTTCATTTTATCAATTACGTAAGCCCCAGCTAAGACTACCACTTAGGAAAGTAAAGGATTTTGATATAACACAATGTTTGACAAAAATCTCTTTTTCAACAAATATTTTGATGATAAAATGCAGAAAACCCAACAAGTCATGGAGACATAGAGTGAGTGAAGACAGAAATGACAGATTTAATCAAAATTATCCTGACCTTAGCCTACTATTTGGTAAGATTTTCTAATTTCAGTATTTAAACCATTTAGTTGAAGGTCTATTTCACATGTCTATGATGTGACATAGGAACTTATTTGAAATTCTGCTTTTCCTTTAACTTCCTGTAACCTAAAATACTTGGGAGCTTGGTTTGTGGCATATTGAGATAGGTTAATACTTGGATACCTTTTTGATTGATTTTTTTTTTCACAGATGGCACCCTCATGTTTGTGACACACTAAACTCTTAATTTTGACAACTCCCTGGTGCTGCAGGAGAAAGGTGAGGGAAACGAGATGTGACAAAAGGCCCAGTTACCAGGGTGCTGCTAGTACTGACCGTGTTTTAATGGATGCAAGAGATTTTCTGAAGGTAGACTGGACATCTAACTGGAGCAGCCTAGGAACATCTGGGTACCCACCCAGCTGGTCCCAGGGCACATTTATTGGTGTCTTCTCTACTATTGGGTAGCTGGATATAGATAAATCAGTTTCCCAGATGGCATCAGTCTGGTCTTCTTGGCATCTGTAGAATGAGGGAAGCACAGGTGAAAAGTGCACAGCTATTTTGTACCAAGAATCTGGCAAAGTGTATGAGTCTTATTCTCTGCCCCCCAACTTTTACTCTATCCTATAATAACTTCCCCTTGGCACTGACAAGCATTAGCCATGCTCACTTTGAGATAGAGGTAAAATGATAATGCAGAATTTGCCAGAATGGTTAACAAAGCTAAATTTCCATGACTTTCCCTGAAAATCTATACTAAAACACATACCATGGATGTGTTTTGCTTCCCTCTCATAGTGCCTCCAGGAGTTCATGCTTCTAAGCTACTTTATTAAACATTCTTCAAACAATTTTTTTAATAAGGAAGGGTGCAATTTTTACAAAATGAATTTAGCCAATAAATTACCCTCCTAGTAAATTAGTTTAGAAAATCAATTCTTGCTTAGATTCTCCAGTGAATCATATCACAATGGTGAAGGGGTTGTTAGGTGGGGAAAAAAAGTTTCACAATCGTCTCAACTTATCAGTCTCTCCACCATATACCTAATTTTCTTGACAGATTGTCTGTCTTCTTCTATTGACAACTTCTGGAATGTTTGTTGAACAAACTCAGTAGAGGCAGGCATCTCCTTTTTATTGATTGTCAAAGGGATGGGTTGACTAAGATTCAATTTGTATATCTCTTGTAACTATAAAAGTAAATAAGAGAAACAATGTCATAGAAAGAAAAGCTGTTAAAAAAAAACTGTGAAAAAATGAGCAACAGAAATGAACAGATATTTTGCAAAAGAATAGATCCAAATAGCTAACATTCATGTGAAAAGATGCTCAAGCTCTCTAACCATCAGAGAGATAGAAATGAAAACCACATTGAGATATCACCTAGCTCCAGTCAGATTGTCCTACATTCAGAACTCAACTAACAACACCTGCTAGCATGGATGTGGGGAGAAAGGTACCATCCTTCCCTGCTGGTGGGAGTGCAGGCTAGTACAACCAATATGGAAATCAGTATGGAGAGTGCTTAGAGAATTGCAAATAAACCTGCTTTACAATCCAGCTAACCCGCTTCTAGGAATGTACCCAAAAGAAATTAAAACTACATGTGAGAAGGGAATCTGTAATCCTATATTTACAGCAGCACAATCTGCAACAGCAAAGACATGTAAACAACCCAGATGTCCATCCAAAGAGGAGAGGCCAAAGAAATTGTGGTACATCTACTCCATGGACTATTATCCAGCCATTAAACAGAATGAAATTATACAATTTGCAACGAGATGGTTCCAACTAGAGATCATTATGCTCAGTGAAATCAGTCAATAACAAAAGGAGAAATATCATATGTATTCTCTAATATAAGGGATCTGTCATGCAAATTGGAATTATACTGGTGGAGTAATGAAGATTACCATATCCAGAAGTGAAAACAATGCAACATGCATCTCTGCTTCCAAACAAAACATGGACTCCCAATGAAAATGTTGGGTATATCTAGACAGCGGGATGATGGACTGTCTGACATTGTCTGTATCAGTATTGTCGAGGTATACCTAAGTAGCAGACTAGTGGAACTGTAACTCCTTATGAAGAGTGTGACATTATGGGAAAAATCAGTTGGGAGTGGAAACTGGAGTGAGAGGAATCCCAGACTATACAGTATTCTATGATAAATATAAAAATTTTAAAAATAAAAAAGAAAGGCTGGAATCTTTATGGAGATGATCTGAACTGTCACTTGACTGAAACACAATTCCTTCTTTTCTGTGGCTTTTCAAGTGTTCTTCCCTCTTCAACTCGCTTCCAATAGGCGTAAGTTCAGAATTGGAGTCTGTGACAAATCAAAGCCTTCCTCCTAGTTACTCTCCAGTCTGAGTCGTAGCTGGAAACTTTGATTAATCTAGCTATACCTGCTCATCTTCATTATTAAAATAGGAATAACAGGATAGTGAACACTGTATAGGGTAGCATATATGGAATATAAATTGTGCTACACTATACAAACATAATGATAGCTAACATTTACCGAATCAATGCCAAGCGCTGAGCCAAGCCCTTCCCCTGTCAGCTCATTTGGAACTTGTAACTACCTGGTCAGGCTCAGAAAACTCAGGAATGTGCTTGGTGTTGCCGGTCAAGCTGCTCCTTGGAACACCTATATCTCAGAGTGTCTGGGATCAAGTCTCATCACTGCCTTCCAATCCCACTCCCTACTAATGCACCTGGAAGGTTGCATAAAATAAAACACTGCTTCAGAAAGTACCACTCATGGGAGATACCAGGAACAACTTCTTGGCTCCCAATCTGGCCCATTTTATATCTATGAAAAATTAAGATGTCCACTAGCGTTGCAGTTAAAAGTGATATGAACTCAGACATCTCATAGCAGAGCCAGTCCCCTTAGCCATCCCCTTGATTCAGTGCAAGGTATTTACTGCTATCTACCCCCCCATCTCTTTTGCTTTTTACTTTCTCTTCTCCTTTCTTAATGCATTCATACCAGCATGGTCAGATTCTGATATTCCTGACTTTGAAACCTTAATATATGATATAAAATGCTCTAGACATGGTCGTTCTTGTTAGATGCCATAGCCAGCTTATCTTCCTTTGCTCCATGCATTTTCACCATATTTGCAAAATCAAAACATGAGGTATGTTTTTTTAGCAGTGTGTTATAATATTTAGAATATTTAGTTATAAAATGTTCCTAAACTCCAGCTTGCGTTATTTATTGTTCAAAACTGAGTTAATGCCAGGAAATCTGAAGCTATCTGAAATAGTCCCAGGGAAGAGAACTCTCTTCTCGGCTTTTGTAGTGTTCCTGTTGCTTCCCAAGACAGGTTGCCAGTTGCCTAATATTGGGTTGTAAGTCACAGTGAGTGGATGCCAGCACTGAAGGGGACAGCTTGTGCCTGGTGCTGTGGAAGCAAGTTGTCTCCCTTCCGATAAACTCATGGCAATAAGCCTAGCCAACTGCTGGTTTTGATAAAGCAACTGCCCACAATTAGGGAGCAGTGGCTTCAAGAAGTTTCACATCTTTGTCACCCACTACTTGTGGGTGAAAAGATGAGCTGAATTTTTCTGGAGCCGACTCCTATTCTCGTCTTTTTCTCACCTAGAATTTTAACAAATATTCTTGTTGTCAGTCTGGGAGTGTCACTGCTCATGCTGTAGTGGCAGTTTGGGCCAGTGGCCTCTTCAAAAGCTGTGTTCACTCAGGATCTCTGACACAGCCTTATTAGAGCAGGGACCTTTACAAATCTGAGTTATGGATCTGAACATGAGATCATCCTGTATGAGCCAGGATGTCGTTGAGTCCTGCTTCTGATGCATATGGCCTCCTAAGGCCCAGAATCCAGATGCATGCTGAGGGCCATTTGAGAGGTGGAGGCGAAGATGGGAATTCAACGGCTGCAAGCTAAGGAATGCTGAGGATTTCCAATGGCCCTGCACTGAGGGAAGCATGAGACAGTTTTCTCAGAGAATCCTGAAGGAACCAGCCCTGCTGCACGTTAATTTTCTTCATTTCTGATCTCTAGAACCATAGCAAGATACATGTGAGAACCTTTTCTTTTTCTGCCAAGGGTCGTTTGGATCTTTATGACATGACTCGCAGTCCATAGAAAATTGTCCAACTAAAAAATTAGGCTTCTATAGGTTTATTGAATTTCAAATCTGCATGGGGTTACCTTGACAGGATCAAACCAAATGACTTCATGGGACTTATCCGGCCCACATTCCTATCCCATAGTGTTTGTGGCAGTACATTTGGCCATCTTTAGGAATCATAATATGGTGCCTCCCTTTGGATGTTAGTTTCAAAACTTAGCACTTTTTTTTGGATCACAGCATACTAGATAAGGTAACAGAAAACACATTACCTGGGTAAATAAGGATATCATTTTCCTCAGGCACTGATTTCGTTTCTCTTCTAGAAACTTCTGCCTCTCAGTCCAGGTATACATCATCTTTTTCTGATAGTCGTCAATTCTGCTCAGCATGACATAGAGTTTCTGGGTTTCATATCCTTTACCAGTGTATTGGATGGCTTTTATTTGATAGATTATATTGTTTCTTGAAGAAAAAATACAAGAATTAAGTTGAGACAGCTGATCAACCTAACTCAGTGAGTTTGTCCTCAGTTTTCCTAATTACATCATCCTTTGCTACTAAGAAGGATGGATGAGGAAAGGAGGCTTTTTTAGTAAGACATTAGTCTATTTTCCCATGTAAATAAAAAAATTAAAGATTTATTTATTATTTTACAAAATCAAATATACAGAGAGGAGGAGAGATAGAGAGGGAGATCTTCCATCCGATGAATCACTCCCCAAGTGAGTGCAATGGCCGGTGCTGTGCCGATCCGGAGCCAGGAGCCAGGTCTCCCACACTGGTACAGGATCCCAAAGCATTGGGCCATCCTCGACTGCTTTCCCAGGCCACAAGCAGAGAGCTGGATGGGAAGTGGGGAGCTGCTGGGATACAAACCAGAGTCCATATGGGATCCCGGCGCGTTTAAGGCAAGGACTTTAACCACTGGGCCACTGTGCTTGGCCCATGTAAATAAAATTTTAATAATCTATATGGCTACTTATAGCCATATTTATATTTGCATGTGCTCATTTATTTTAAAATGTGCCTTATGGGGCAAAAATCTTCATTTTAAAAGTAGTGATATATAAGAGTGTAGCTGGTACATAATAGAATTATTAAAAGACAGTGAAGGGCCCAGCATGGTAGCCTAGCAGTTAAAGTCCTTGCCTTGCACACACCACGATTCCATATGGGCACTGGTTCTAATCCCAGCATCTCTGCTTCCCTTCCAAATCTTTGCTTGTGGCTTCAGAAAGCAGTAAAGGATGCCCAAAGCCTTGGGACCCTGCACCCATGTGGGAGACCTGGAAGAAGTTTGTGGCTCCTGGCTTCAGATCAGCACAGCTCCAGCCATTGCAGTCACTTGGGCAGTGAATTATCAGATGGAAGATCTTCCTCTCTGTCTCTCTTCCTCTCTGCTTAGCTGACTGTCCAATAAAAATAAATATTTTTTAAAAGACAATGAAATGAACAGAGAAAAAGTGCCCAGAGCCAGTGTCATGAGTAAGCTAAGCCTCCACCTGCAGTGCCAACACCCCGTATGGCCTCACTTCAGGTCTGGTTGTTCCACTTCCAATCCAACTTCCTGCTAATGTGCCTGGGAAAGCAGCAGCAGATTTCCCAAGCCCTTGGGTCTCTGCACCCATGTGGGATATTCAGAAGAAGCCTCATGTTTCCAGCTTTGGGGCAACCCAGCTCCAGTCATTGTAGCCATTTAGTGAGAGAACCAGCATATGGAAAAGCTCTCTGTGTCTCTCTCTCTGTAAATCTGCCTTCCTTTCCCATAAGTCAGGACCCTAGAATTTCATCCAGTTCTGCTATGTGGCTGTTAGGAGCCCAAGCACTGCATCCACAATCTGCTGTTCTCCAGGCTGTGTTAGGAACCCCAGCTGGAAGCAGCCTGAAAAACAGCAGAAGAAAAATGAAAGAAATTGATCGTTGTGTTTGAGATTTATGGAATACTATCAAATGAAGTCAAATAAGTATCGTAGGAGTTCCTGAAGGTGTAGAGAGAATTTATTAAAAGGCCTACCAACAATTTAATGACAGAGAACTTTTGAAATTTGTGGAAAGAAGCATCCAGATACAGGAAGCACATACAACTTTAATAGACATGACCAGAAAAGATACTCCTCACATTGTATTATAGTAAAACTTTAAACAATGAAGTGCAAAAAAAGCATTCTAATATGTAGTTGCAAAAATGTCAGATTATCTCCAGAGTAATCTGACATCTGCCAGTAGACTGATAGATAATCTCCACAGAAATCTTACAGGCCAGAAGAGAATGGAGAGAAGAAGGCCAATTCCTTACAGAAACTACCAACCCAAAATCCGGTACCCTACATGGCTTCTGTTTACAAACGCATATGAAATAAAGATCTTCCAAAACAAAAAGAATTTCTGACTACCCATCCAGCCTTACAAATGATGCTTAATGATGTACCACACACGGAAATAGAGAATGGTGAACATCATTCTGAAACAGTTTGAAGGCAGAACGTCTTCATTACAAGTACAAAGGAAATTCAAATAAATATGAGCAATATTGATGGAAAAAGTGACGGGACCAAGTAATTACTTGCTAATTACTTTAAATGGCTCAAATTCTTCAATTAAAACAGACTGGCAGAATGAATTTTTTTAAATACCCATTTATTTTCTGACTTCAGGAAACACATCTCACCAACAAAGTACAGACTAAAAATGAAAGGATTAAAAGAGATAACTCATACTAACAAAAATCAAAAAAGCAAGGAGTGACAGGAGCAATATCAGACAAAATAGATTTGAACACAAAAGCTGTCAGAAGAGATAAAGAATGGCATTGTGATGGTTAAGGAAACAACAGGAAGATATCACCTGGCTATTTGATTTAAACAAACGTAGGCTGTAATACAATAATGTGGGGGGGGGGGGCTTTAGCATTCCACATTCGTCTATCGACAGATCAACTCAAAGAAAAACCAAAGGAACAACAGAGCTAATCTATAATCTGGATCAAACAGATCTGATATCTGCAAAACATTTAATTTCACAGTTGAAATACACATATTCTGCGCATGGAACTTTATCTAGCAAAGACCTGTGCTGGGCCATAGAGCAAGTCTTAACAAATCCAGGGGGAAAAATTGAAATTGCATCATTTTATTTTCTGACCACAAGGAAATAAAGATGGAAATTAACAACTTAGGAAATTCCAGAAAATATACAAAAATAGTCAATGGAGATTGACTAATAACACCTAAATAAGCAGTGAGTCATAAAAATAATCAGAACATTCCTGGAAACAAAGATGACAATACAATATATAAAAATAATGAGATACAGCAAAAGCAGTATTAAGAAGGAAGCTTATAGCAAATAGTAATGTGTATCAAGATATTGAAAAGACATAAAATAAACGATCTAATGGTACATTTCAGAGACCTGGAGAAAACAAAAAGAGAACAACCCCAAAATTAGCAGAATGAAGTAAATGAACAAAATTGAGACCAAATAAAATAAAATGAAAAATATCCATGAAATGGAAATTTGGTATTTTGAAAAACTAAACAAGGTCATAAAGGACCACTCATTGCAGCACTAGAGGGGAAATCAATGTGAGGGGAGAGAACATGGGAGGGAACCAGGAAATCCCAAAGCCTGTGGAACTGTATTATGAAACAATAATGAGAAGAGGCAAGATGGCAGTTTAGGGTGCAGTTTTAGGTTAACAGAGAATCATTAGGGTAAAACAAGAGGAGCAGATTCCAGGAAAAGACAGATATCAGGCGATTGGCGGGGAGAAGAAGGGGTACCTGGAAATCCCTGGACACAGGGAAGCAGCAGCGATGGCAAAGTGATGTTGCAATGAACAGAAATCCAACTAGCAGCTGGCAAACAGCAATCCGGACTCCAGTGATCCAGGGTCCAGTAGCAGCCAGAGATCCAGTATCAGCCAGAACACCTGGCTGTTCCCAGGTGGGAACAGGAATTCACCAGGAACTCAGGAGGCGAAAGGCATCAAGGTGGAAGACAGAATGAGACTGTTGTAACCATTGTTTCTGTCTCCAAATTCCCCAGATATCCTGGGCTGAGCTAGGCTGAAGCCAGAAGATTGGAAGGAAATGTGGGTCTTCCATGTGGGCAGAAGGGACCCAAGTACTATGGCCATCACCTGCTGCCTCCTAATGTACATGTCAGAAAAGCATGGAGACTCACACCAGGAAGTAGGTTATGGGATGTGGGAATCCTCAGAAAGTACTACAACTGCTATAGCAACGTCTCTAATACAACAAAATGTACCTCAAACCAGAGTTATTTTTCCCAAGAACATGTAAGAGGTAAAAGTCCAAGTCACCAACATTTTTAACACATACTTACAATAATCAGTAATGAAAGAATAACTCATATTTTGAGAATCTGAATTATGTAGGAATGGAGAAAATAACCCCCCAAAAATGAGGCCAGTGTTTCATATCATCTCTTCCATTGTGATGAGTGTACTTGATTCTCTCCCTTGGCTTATCTTCACATAACACTGAAGATCACGAGATTACTGGCCAAAAGTTACCCCATTCCTAGAGAAGTCAATGTAAACAGATGAATAAATGAAATGGATCTTGATATTATCCATTTGTTATTCCCTTAATGTCTCCTTTTGCTGTCTTAAACAGGCTTATGTCATACATATCTTCTAAAATAGATTCTTTTACAACATTGGTTAAATTTGACAATATATTTATAGGGCAATGAAGGAGGATATTTGATGTCCAGACTTCACAGGAACAGTGGACATAGAGCAACTAGATCACTGGAGAATTGCCTACCTCACACGCTGGATCAGCCTGTAGGCAACGTACTTGTGTAACAGGTATCCCAGCCGAACTGCGTCTGTATGTAGCGTCTCAATGATGAGATTCCTAGCTATCATGTGTAAGTGGGAAGGAAGTGCAGAAGTTCCCATGGCCTGATTTAACAGTATCAAGTTCTTTCTCTGAGCTGACACATCAACAAAATATGTCTTTCCTTCAAGTTCTTGGGGAGAAGGAGGCCCCACCATGTTGTCTTTGTTGGTATCTGAACATGAAGCTGTCATCCACGGCTTTTCTATAGAGGGAGACCATGATTTCTGGTCCCATTGTGGCTTCTGTGATGTTACCAGTAACTGAGGAGTCAGGGAAGGCAGCGATTTCCTGGCCTTCTGCAGTGTGTGCAGGATCTCCTCATTAGTATGAGGGGTCTGCGGGTCTGGGGGGCTGTCACTTGTGAGATGGGGCTCAACTGCCTTAAGTAGTTCCATGGATGAGGGATCTCGAGGTGTTTGGGGTTCATCTGGGGTGTCAAAGATCTCTGGCAGTTGGATCTTGTTAATGGTGAATGGAGCTTGACCTGTCTTCAAAACTGGGGTACTGGGTTGGATCAAAGACTGAGCTTTCAGAGTAGAAATAGTTGCCCATCTTTTCTTCTTGTCAGAAGACAGAACACCTTGTTGGGACATTCCAGTAGCTGAAGGGGTCCAGAGTCTGGAAGGATGGCCAGGAGTGGGATGGATCCATGGTGGGGAAGCATCCTCAGGGAGGATCAGTGGGGTCAGTTGCTGCCCAAGGGTGTTCGGGGCTGGGGGAGAGGGGGACTGTTCTATGGGGGCAGGTTGGTGTTCCAGGGACTTTCCAGAGATGGTTAAGAGTCTGGACTCCATGAACTCTCCAGGGAGAGACTTCCCAGGTGTGAGAGGATGCCAGACACTTGGTATCTTTGCAGAGATGGACATCATTTCAGATGTTATAGGCCACCTGGGTGTAGGAGGGCCTTCCAATACTGGAGGTAGCCAGGCAGTTTGAGGGCTCTTAGGCAGAAATAACTGCCTAGCGCTAAGAGCTTCCAGTTCAAGGGGCTGCCCTGGAATAGGAGGAGTCCCAGATATTGGTGACTGCTCAGGAGTGGGAGACACCCCTAATGACTGGGCCTGCATAGAAGTGAATGGTAGCTCCATCTCCTGAACCAGATTAGGAGAAGGGGTGGCTCCAGTTGCCTGGGTGAGCTCAATATGTTCTTCAGTGCTAGGAACGCCAAATACCCAAGCCTGTTGCATGTTGGATGAGATTTGCATTGCCTGGATCTGTTCAGAAGTGCCAGCTGCCTTTACTGCCGGGGTGTCCTGAAGGGGAGTAGGGGCTGTCAGTGCTAGATCTGGTTCCAAGGTTAGAGGAGGCAGCCAAGCCTGGTCATTTTCTTGTTTGAGTGCCATATGTGAATTCCAGACCGTTTCAGGGTTAAGATGAATCCCCTGACTCAGGGTATAGTGAGGGGTCAGGGTCCCCAAGGCCTTTGCCTGCTGAGTAATCATTGTTATGTTCAGGGCCTCAGTCTGTTGAGGGGTCAGAGTAGTCCCCAAAGCCTGGGCCTGCTGGGAGGTCAGAATTCTCAAAGGCTTGGCTTCCTGAGTGATTGAAGTTATCCCCAGGATCTGGGCCTGTTGAGGGGTCAGAGTTGTCCCCAGGGCCTGGGATTCTTGAGAAGTCAAAGTTGTCTCCAGGACCTGGGCCTGCTGGGAGGTTAGTCTTGTCCCCAGCATCTGGGTCTGCTGAGGGGTCAGAGTAGTCACCAAGGCCTGGGCCTGCTGAGGGATTTGAGTGGTAGCCTGGGCCTGCTGGGGGATTTGAGTGGTAGCCTGGGCCTGCTGAGCGATCAGAGTGGTCGCCAGGGCCTGGGCCTGCTGAGGGGTCAGTGTTGTCCCCAGCATCTGGGCCTGCTGAGGGGTCAGAGTGGTTGCCAGGGCCTGGGCCTGCTGAGGGATTTGAGTGACTGCCGGGGCCTGGGTCTGATGATGAATCAGAGTTGTCCTCTGGGCATTGGCCTGCTGAGAAGTCTTTGTGGCTGGGGCCTGCTTATGGGTCAGAGGTACATCCATGACCTGGAAAAGCTGAGGAGTGTGAGTTTTGTGCTCTGCAAGGGGCTGTGGGTAGATGTAAAGGGCTTCTGGTGTTGAGGCCTGAGGAGAGAGTGAAGGAGTGCTTGGCAGGAAGTGCGTTGTCTCAGGTGGGAGACCTGAGACTCGATGGAAGGTTCTACCTTGGGGTAACTGGGATTGCTCTTCTGTGCCTTTGGTCTTGTCTTCAGGTTTCTTTCCCTTGGTCTTCTGATGGACTGCTGCAATCTCCCTTTGCCTGTCAAGGCGCTCTGCCCCCTTGCTTGGCTTCTGCTTGTCCTCCTCCTCCTTCCTCCCTCTTTTTTTCTGCTGGTGGTGTTTCTCTGCCTTCAGATCCAGGCTCAGCTTCCCTTCCTTCTCTCTTTGGAAGAGCATCCCTTGCTCTTTCGCTGTTGTCTTCTGTGCCTCTGTCATCATATGAGCTTCCTTCTGGAGACTAGATTTGTCTTGCATTTTGTCTTGACCCTCTTGTCCATATTCATCCTGTTTGGGCTTTGCTTTCTCATATTCTTTTCTTACTGTTGAGACTGTTGGAGCATCTCCCTCACTTTCTATTTCAGTCAAGATCATTTCTATTACATTTTTCATTACTGGGTCTAAATTTTCATTTGAGAGGAAACGGCTGATTTCAGACTTGGCAGTAGTTGATGACTTCTGATCATGCAGTACCGGCATGAATGAAACTGCCTTTTTTTGCATCCTGGGTTTCTCTCCAATATCCCCTTCGTTTTTTGCAACTTTGAATTTCCTCACCATTTGAATCACAATCTCAGCCATTTTTTGGAAGTATTCATCCATCTTTGCTTTTATTGTTTCAAAGTTTTCCATTTCTGCCCTTTTCAGTAAGCTCTCCTTCCTTGGCATGGTGTTTTCATCAACAGGCTTGTCTATGTTGTTAATTTTCTCTTTAAGGAAATCCATTAAGGCTTTCTGAAATGATTCCATGTTACTCTGTTCACCTTTGACCTCTGGAGTTGCTAATGCCCTTTCAGTTTCTGAAGAATCTTTCTGGATATTTGTGCGTGATTTCTCAAGTTGAGGAGACTTGGGTTGTTTGCTGAAGGCTGGACTTTCCTCATGGTCTCTTCTCCCTACTCTGCTTCTGTCCGTTGTTAAGGGGATGTCCTGTGTCTTTCCTTGAACTTCAGCTTTCTGTGACATTGATGTTTGTTTCACTTGAGCCATACTCGATGGATCTGTTAGGTCCCTAGTCCATTTGTTTGTTGACTCAATGGGGGGCTCTTTTAGGTCCGATAAATTAAGCCCCTTTCTCAAGGGAGATTCAGTTTTAAATTTCCTGGCCTGCTCTGCCTTGTAAGATGTTCTACCTTTGACATGTTGGTTTTTAGCTTCGCTGAAAGGGAGATGCTGGATTCCTGGTTCAGATGATGTCTTTGTTTTTATTCCTTCTGTTCCCTTCTCTATTTCTTCTAGCTCAGAGTATTGATTAGTTTGGGCTTCAGTCAGTTTCTCTTCACTGTCTTGCTTGCTTGTATTTGATCCAGCGTGGTCTTGGGTGTGTGGACCTTTTGTGTGTTCTGTTTTCACAGGTTGATATTGGCCAGTCATGCCATATGAATAAACAGCCCCTCTCTGCCCTTCTTTACTTCCCGTGGGCGTTTTAGAAGGACCAGCAGCTTTTTTTCCCTTTTTTTCAGATTGTGGGTCTGGCTCTTCAGATAACTCTGGGATCATTCCAGCTTTATATAAAAGAGTAGAGTCCCACTTTGTCTCAGAAGCTTTGATCTTTTTCGAAGGAGACTTAAATAGTGTATTGTCAAATTCTTTGGCTAAAGTAGTGTCCAAACTGTCCTCTGTGTCTTCAGTTTTGATGTTAATCATGGGTGTCGGAAGTGATGCATATTGATCTGTAATGCTTTTGAATCTAATTAAGTATTCATACTTTTCTTGTGTATCTTGTAAGTTTTGTTGAAGCTTCTCATTTTGCTCACTAAGGTCATAAATCATTCTTCGGGAGAGTTCTTTTTCTGTTTCATATTTCTCATAAAACATACTGTCACCTACAATGTTAGCAATATTTAATTGCTCGACTACAGTACTCAAGGCTTTAGAAAGATTGAGTATTGTTGATGAAATGTATTTGATAGCTGTGTTTTCCAATTTATTGAATATTGTAGTCCCTGTGAGTTCCTGCAGCATATTTTGAATTTCTAAAACCTTGCTATTTGTTGCAAATTGATTAGTAATCATTTGATCTGGTCTTAATGCATAGGCTGTTGCAGGTCTCTTTACCAACCTGTCTTTCCAGGATTTCCATAGAGCTGCTCTAGACACTGGAAAGAAACACACACACACATTAAAAAAAAAAAAAAAAGATTGCACTGATTCTTTTTTCACTCTGCATTTAAGCCTAATGAATTTAGATTAAGTTAACATCTATCAATTGAAGAAAGCTAGCTCTGGGGACTGGCCTTATGTTGTAGTAGGTTAATCTGCCACTAATGATCATATTGTCCATATTGGAGCACTTAGTGTGCTACTTCATATCCAGCTAACTGCTAATGTGCCTGGCAGGGTAGTGGAGGATGGCCTAAGTGCCTGAGACACTACCATGTGGAACCTTCTGCAGTTGTATATTCTTGGCATCAGCCTAACCCAGCCAGCTGAGGATTGCACTAGTAGATGGACTATTTTTTTCACTCTGTATCTCCTGTCTCTCTGCCTTTTAAATAAATAAATCTTTGAAAAGGGTGGGTAGAAAACTATAGCTCCTAAGCAACCAGTTTTGTTCTTAGAAGAATATTCTCAGTGAGATCCAAGATGGATGAATAAAGATACATCAATTCAGGTAAGGATTGATTAATAGGGAGAGGTGGTGGGTAGGGTGTGATCTCAGTGTAGACAGGTTGATGGCAGAGAAATTGCTGGGACTCAAGGACACTGGAAAGCAGCAGAAACAGCTGAGCAAAACAGTAGTGGCTGTATTTCAGTGGTGATTGGAACTCTGCAAGGAGACAGAAAGGGGAAGTCACTGGAGAGGTGGAAAATAACTCATTTCATAGAATCACAGCTTAGGCTGATCTTGTGTTCCAACACAAGCCAAGACAGAGCAGCAAGTCCCCTGTGGGTAGGCATGGGGCTGAAATGAAACATGCTTCCAAGTCCCCCAAACCCATACAAGCATAAGGAATGCAAATTGGAAAGAAGGGAATCAAATTATTCTTGTTTCCAAATAACATGACCCTCTATATAGGGGAACTGATAGTCTCAAGAAAGAGACAACTGGAACTCATAGCAGAGTTCAGCAAGGTCACAGGATATAAAACCAATTTACATAAATCAATGACCTTGGAACACACAAACAATCCCGTGGCTGAGAAGCTTGCAATATCAGTCCCATTCACAATAGTGACAAGAAAATCCTCAAATAACTTGGAATAAACATAACCAAGAATGTGAAGAATCCCTATACTTAAAACTACAAAACAAAGAAATGCAAAAAGACATCAAATCATGGGACAATATGCCATGTTCATGGACTGCAGAATCAACATCATCAAAATGTTCAGATTTCCAGAAGTAATCTGCAGGTTCAATGCAATTCCAATTAAAACTCCATGACATTCTACTCAAGAGGTAAGGGGGAAAAAGAATGCCAAAGTTTATATGGAAATGCAAGAGATCCCCAATAGCGAAAGCAATCTTATACAATAAGAACAAAGCTAGAGATACCACAATAACAGGCTTCAAAACATACTATTGAGCAATGGTAATCAAAACAACCTGATACTGACACAGAACAGACCTGAAAATCAATGGAACAGAATAGAAATCCCAGAGGTGAGCTCACACATCTGTAACCAAATTTTTGACAAAACTGAAGTCAATCCAGTAAGAAAGGATAGTCTTGTTAACATATGTAGCTGGGAAAAATCAAATACTTATTTGTAAGAATAAGAAATAATATCCCTGACTTCAATGTTGTACAAAAATTAACTCCAAATGAATAAAAGATATGAACCCAACACCATCAAATTACTCAAGAAAAACATCCAGGACACTCTGCTAGCCTTTGGCATAGGCAAAGACTTCTTAGAGAAGACCCCGAAAGCACAGTCAATTAAAGCAAAAATAAATTGGATCATGCCAAGCAGACACTGCTGAACTGCAAGAGAAACAGTAAAATGAAGAGACGACCCACAGAATGGGAGGAAGTATTCGCAAATTACACAACAGAGGGTAACAGAGGTCTAATATCCAGGGCTTACAAATAACTCCAGAGACTTAACGGCAGCAAGTTAAGAAATGGATAAAGAACATGAACAAATATTTCTCAAATGATTAATTCAAAGCACTGATAGGCACATGAAAAAAATGTTCAGGCTCTTTAACAATAAGGAAAACACCTAACTGACGTGAGAATGGTCTACATACAGAAGTCAACAGACAGTAGTTACTGGTGAGGATGCAGGAGAAAAAGGTAGCCTAATCTGTTGATGGGAATGTAAACTAACCCAACCGCTGGAAGTCAGCATAGAGATTCCTCAAGCAGTTGAAAACAGATCTACCCATCTGACCCAGTCATCCCACTCCTAAGGATATGTCCGAATGAAATGAAACCTGCAAATGAAAGAGATGTCTGCAATCCCATATCTGTGGCAGCACAATTCACAACAGCTAGTACAACCCAGATATCATCAACAGATGAATGGATAAAGAAAAGAAGGCACATTTATTTCATTGAATACTGTTCAGCTATAATAAGGAATGAAATCTTACCATTTGCAACAAAATAGCCCCAACTGCAACCTGTATGCTGTATCCAAAAAGACAAATATCATACATTCTCTCTAATGTACAACAACTAATGTGCAGAAAACACAAACTATAAAAACTCCACAATGGTTATTAGCATACTGGGAAATGATATAAATAGAGTGATAATGGGGGGCAGAAACGGGGGAGGGATGATCCCCTATGCATGTAAATCTGCATCATGGTGGATAATAAATCTTTATATTATAAAATCTAGCAACAGGCAAATGAGGAAAAATAACAGAAGAATTTTCTCTTACAACCACATTGAATTTTCTCCAGAATTAATATCTCAGCTGTGAGATCATTAACACAACTGAGATCATCAACTCTCATTTGTAAATTTGGGATTAGATATAGAATGCAAACTCAGATTTTTCCTGGTCTGGGGAATGAGTGGTGTTTTTAGTGTTCTCTTTGGATCTCTGTGTCTCTTTTCTACCTTCGCTTACTGAGTACAAACTTTTTGTCAAAAGTGTCATAAACCAACAGACAAAAGATCTACTCAATAACTGGGTGAGAAATTCAGCAAATCCCCCGCATCCAGAGAAACAATGATTCTGGTGTTTGGATCTCTCCCACCCATGTGGGAGAACTGAATTGTCAGACTTGTATCAAAAGAAAAAATCCCACAGGATCCAGCTTCCAGTGACTCACCTTGGATTCAGAGATGCAAACAGATGATAGAAAAAGAAAGGCTGTGAACACAGTGTTCACACAGGAGCTGAAGAAACTGCTAATATTTGAGAAGACAGCTGTGTTGACAAATATTAACACAAAATAATGGTCCTGTAACAAGGAGGATCAATGCATCTGCAAGCTACAGTGATTATAAATGCATGTGTAGTGCACAACCAAGTGCCCAAACACAGGAACTGACAGATTTAAGGGAGAAAAGATTGCTCAGCAGTGACATTTAGGGTATTCAATTTCTAAATAATGGATGGAGCAAGAGGCCTGTGTTGTGACACAAGGTTTGGATTTCAGAGCTTTAAAAAAAAAAAACTGAAAATCATTTAACTCTACACTTAACATGTGAATTTTATACCTCCACAAAGTTATATTATAACTTTTATTATATTATATTATAACTTTTATTATATTAAAATTATACCTCCACAAAGTTGTATTTTGAGAAAAAGGAATCAAGCTTCATTTCCAAAATCACAAAGCACACTTACCTGATTTTTTCTTTTGAGTCTTCTTGTCTTTCAGGAACGTGGAACTCATGCTGCATAGTATATTGATGTTGTTCTCAACGGCTCTCAGTGTGTCTGGAAACATCTCCATTTGTACTATCCAGTGGTAGTGTTCATCAATATCAAATACAGTTATCTCCGATAAGATGGAATCTTGAAGAAAGGGAAAAAACATTTTTTTGCATACAAACAAATAATGTGTATTCAGAAATGTGAGTATAGTTATGTTGTACTTACTGATTTTCTCAGTCTTTCCTCAGTGAAAAGGTTGAAGACTTGGACTCAGAGAGTGAGCCAGTAAGTCTTGTGAATGCTGCTTAAAGTGTCTATTTGATTTTGTTCCTAAAATCCAGGCAAGTAGGTGTCTGAGATGTGAGTATATGCTTTCATACTGGGTGTGAACAGCTTGCTAGGGACCTTGGAGTCAGCACTGTGGCTCAGATTCCTTGCAATGCCAGATCCCACATCAGAGTGCCGGTTTGAGCCTCAGCTGCTCCATTTGCAATCATTCTACCTGTGAATGTGGCTGGAAATGCAGCAGAATAGAATGAAATATCTTACTCTATCTATCCTTCCATCTCATTGTCCATCTCACCCCCACCTTCCCTCTAAATCTCTCTCTTTCTTTGTTTCTGTGATTATTATTGTATGTTTGGTCATTCTTTAATTCCATCAGTGCCTATCCATACATGTACTGTTCTCGTGCATTGAGTACAAGTTCCCCCAACTTCAGGCTGCTTATCTTCTTGTGAAAGGAGACAAAAAATTTTTAATGTAATAATATAGAGGAAATCAATGATAAGAAGGGAATTGGGATGGGGAAGAGGGGAAAACCCTGAGCCTTTAGAACTATATCTCATATGTATATGAGAAATATACACAACTGAGTGCTTATAGATATACATACGTATACAGAGATTTATTTTTTTAAAAAGGGTTATACAGTTACATTAGCATAGATACCGATGCTATAGACAAAAATAAAGATAATGAGTGATAGAGAGTGTGAGGTGATAGGGAATGGGAATGTTCAGAAAACACATTAGGTTCAAATGGGACATACACAAGGAATGAGCCGTATAACTTTCTAGAAATAACACTCCAGGCAAGCGTTCGTGTAAAGACACTGGGCAGGAGCATTACTGACAAGTTTGGAGAAAAGCAGGGAAGTCAGAATAATTGACAGTCAGTGAACATAATTCGTGTTTTATTTATTCTCAAAAACAGGTCAGTCACTTTCTGAACGACCTCTTTAGCGTTTTCTGCTTTAATCTGACTAATCCTTCACAGTGTCTTTGTAGATTTCCTGACTTTGTGGTCTTTCTCTGAAACATTTCTGGAAACTTACTCCATTCTTCTAACCAGGCCAAAATGTAGGCAAGCGTCTTTTCTCTGCTTTCGACATTCTTAGCATAAGTAGCCATTCTCTCCAAAAACGTCGTTCTTTGCTTTTTCATACGTTCTGTAAGGAAGTTACTCCTTCCCAAGGACAAGTCAAAATCAACAGAGTAGCGGGTCATGATTTGATGCACGTTGCTCATTATGTCGATCATCTGTGTTTTAGTATCCTATGGAAGAAGAATGGATGACGTGTAAAAAAATAATAATAATCTGTTGCTCAATTTGTAAAAAAAAAAAAAAAGGAGTCACAAGGTTTTATTAAAAGAAATTTGAGAAGTGTCAATAGAAAGCTATACTATGCTTCAGTATTGAAAGATAACATCATAAAGCTCACCCAGTTAGTCAGGAAACTCCATACAAATCCAGTCAGAATTCTACTGTGCTTTTTACAATTCATCTTAAACTTCTCAGTTCAGTTTTAGAAGTTATGTGAAAGAGCAAATGGCTGAAAATGTCTAAGACACTCTCAGAGTAGAAACATTTGGTAGTGATGTTGGAAATAGAGGTAAGATTTTATCAGTCGACATGATAAAATATGGAGAGATACATCATAGTTTTCTTAAGGTACTTGTCTAAAGTGTAGCAATTCAGGTTTTTTAGTACTACCAATTGACCAGCTATCGGAAATGAAAACCTTCAACAGGCCAATATACATACACACAAGCCTGATTTGTGAAAGAAGCAGTTTATACACATGAACAGGGAAAGACTGAACTTTTCATTAAATGGTGCAAAAACAACCTCTTATCCATATGGAAATATTTAGTGAAGTGGACTCTTATCACATACTTTCACAGAAACCAGAGTAGGATAGGCTAAAGACAAATGTGAGAATGAAAATTGTAAAACTTAAACTTACACATTAAGTAACAAATTACCCACTCCATCTCTCATACCCCCCCCCACCGCCCGACACACACACATAGGTCAATTTGTATCTAGCTCCTAAAAAGAATAAAAAAGATAAGTGTAAAGGTATTACCAAGCCATAAGTTTGTTTTAAAAAAATAAATGCAAAAGAATATCTATTGTATGCTACCCTTCATGTGTGAGAAGTGGCAATATGATACATTACACCTGAATCTATTTATATGAAAAAAAATAAAAGACAAAGTAGGAGTTAGAGAGGGTTTATATGCACATGTGTGAGAGAGAAAGGATGGAAAAGAGAATGGAGAGTTGTAGTAACAAGGATGAGGAAGTGGTGACATTTTTCTACACACATATTTTATATAACTCTGACTTTGCTCACCATAAGGACCATGTTTTGCCACCTTCCACATATGTGATAAATTTTTAAAAACAACAAAAACAACAAAGATTTGCAATAATCAAAAAATATAATTAAAATACTAACAATTCTGTACTAATTGCACAGAGATGAATACCTTAAATACACTACGAGCAAGAAACCTTGGGTAGCAGTATTTCGAAGAATATTGTTAAGGTTAAATACAAAACAGTTGTCATATAAAATCAGTACTAATCGGTAAATGTATTCATACAGGGTAATGGAACAGTAATTCAGAAATGAGCATTTTTCAAGAATTGGATTTTCTAATGTGGATTTGATTTGCATTTCTTCATGTGATGCGAGAATTTCTTCATGTATTTGTTGGCCATTTGTATCTGTTTCTCTGAGAGCTGTCATAATTGCCCATTTCTTGGATTGTTTTGGTTTTGTTGTTTTGTTTTTTTGCTGTTGCGTTTTTGAATTGCTGATACATTCTAGATAGTCTTCTTTTCAGAGAAGCAGCTTATAAATGTTTTCTGACTCCATTGTCTGTCTCATTTGTTTCCTTTGCGGCACAAAAGCTACTGGGTTTGGTAGGACTGCCCCTTTGTCTAGATGTTTAGTTGCTGCCTGTGTTCAAGAAATCATCATCTACACCAGTGTGTCAAAGTGGTACCCTTAGATTGTCCCAAGTATGTGGACCCCTGGGAGTTCCAGGCTCTTGGCTTTACCTGACCCATCCCCAGCTGTTGCAGTCATTTGGTAGTGAACCAAGAGATAAAAGGTTCTCTGGATGGATGGATGGATGAATGGATAGATGGATAGATGGATCCTTCAACCTCTCTACCACTTTCTATCACTCTGTCAATTTCTTTAACCAATTCCTCTTTGGACAAGCATCTGGATTGTTTCCTTATATTTTGTATTGTAGATTGTGCTGCTGTAAATATAGGATGACAGATCCCTTTCTCATATGCAGATTTCATTTCATTTGGATATATTCCTAGGAGCGGGATAGTTGGGTCATATGGCAGGTTTATTTGCAATTCTCTAAGCACTCTCTGTACTGGTTTCCATAGTGGTTGTACTGCCTGCACTTTGGCCATCAGTGAAGGAGGGTACATTTTCCCCACATTCACACCAGCAGATGTTGTTCATAGAGTTCTGAATGTAGGCCAACCTCGCTGAAGTTAGGTGGAACCTCAATGTGGTTTTCTTTCTTTTTTTTATTAATTTTTGATTTTTATCATACAATTGTGTATAGTCTGGGATTCTCCTCCCTACAATTTCCACCCCCGATCCATTTTTCCCATATTGTCACGACAGCACATTTCTTCATAAGGAGTTACAGTTCCATCAGTCTGCTGTTTAAGTGTTTTCCTTTGTATCTCTCTGAAGGCTAGAGAGCCTGACCATCTTTTCATATGTCTGTTAGTCATTTGAATCTGTTCTTTTAAAAAATGACTGTTCATTTCCTTCACCTATTTCTTCACTGGGTTATTTGTTTTATTGTTCCTGGGTTTCTGAAGTTCTTTGTAAATCCTGTATTTTAGTCCCCTGCCAGTTGTATAGTGTACAAATATTTTCTCCAATTCCGTTTGTTGCTTCTTTTCTGTATTATTTCCTTTGCTGCACTGAAGTTTCTCAGTTGATGTACTCCACATGTTTATTTTGGCTTTGATTCCCTAGGCTTTTGGCGTCTTTTCCAAGTATTCCTCATTCCTATATCTTGACAAGTGCTTCCTATGTTTTCCTGTAATAGTCTGATGGTTTCTGGGTGTAGAGTTAGGTCCTTGATTGATATAGAGCTAATTTTTGTATACCGTGACAGGTGCGGGTCTTGCTTCTTACCTCTGCAGCTGCTATCCAATTGTCCCAACAGCATTTGTTGAAATGACCAGGATTTTTCCCTGGATTGTTTTTCAGATTTCTTATCAAAGATTAGTTGGCTATACATGTGTTGTCTCCCTCTGGTGTTTCTATTTCTGTTCCATTGATCTCTGTTTCTGTGTCAGGATGAGACTTTTGATGATCACTCCTCTGTAGTATGTCCTGAGGTCTAAATTGTGATTCCTCCAGCTTGATTTTTATTCTTCAGGATAGCTTTGGCTATTGGTACTCTCTTGTGTTTCCAGATGAACTTTTCTACCTTCTATTTTTAAGAAGAATGTTGTTGGGTTTGTGATTGGTAATAAGAACATATTGAATGTGTGGGGATTATGAATATGGTAATATGGATGCTTGGATGATGTTGATCCTGCCAATCCAGGAACAGGGTAAGTTTCTTCATCTTTCAATGTCGTCTTTTATTTCTTTTTAAAATATTTTATAGTTTTCACCATAGAGGTCTTCCACAATATTTGATTCTCCTAAGTAGAGGATTGTGTCTGCAAGCAGGAATTCCTCATTTCATTTCCAACTTTAATTCCTTTAATTTATTTTACTTGCCTAATTGCTCTGGTAAGAACTTCCAACACTCTGTTGAAAAGCAGTAGTGAGAGTGGATATCCTTGTCTAGTTCCAGATCTTAGTGGAAAGGACTCAAGTCTTCCCCCATTTAGTATGATGCTGGCATTGGCTTTTTCATAAATTGCTTTGATTGTAGAATGTTCCTTTTATGCCTATCCTAAGGTTTTCAGCATGAAGTGGTGTTGGGTTTTATCAAATGCCTTCTCTGTGTCTATTGAGATAATCACATGGTTTTTGTATTTCAATTTGTTGGTGTCATGAATCACATTTATTAATTTGTGAATGTTAAGCCATCTCCACATGCCTGGGATGAATCCAAGGAGCTGGGTGGGAAGTGGAGCTGCCGGGATTAGAACCGGTGCCCATATGGGATCCCGGGGCGTTCAAGGCGAGGACTTTAGCTGCTAGGCCACGCTGCCAGGCCCTCAGGCATTTCTTTATAGGGAAGAAAAGCTAACACACCTGAGTCATTTATATAGATTAAAAAGACAAAATAAGTCATAGACATTGATGTAAAAATGGCAGGTACGAAACTCCCAGAACACCACTGAAGGAGATGTTTGTAGCTTATAGTTAGGCAAACCTTGTGTATATGCCACGCTAAACACATGACCCAAACACAAAATGATAGCGGCCCAGTGCAATGATTCAATTGGCTAATCTTCCCATTGCAAGTACCAAGATCCCATATGGGTTCCAGTTTGTGTCCCATCTAGCTCCCACTTGTGGCCTAGGAAAGCAGTAGAGGACGGCCCAAAGCCTTGGGTCCCTGTAGCCACATGAGAGACCAGAAAGAAGCTGCTCGATTCTGGCTTTCGATCGGCTTACCTCTGTTTATTTCAACCAGTTTGGGAGTAAACCAGCAAATGGAAGATCTTTTTATGTATTTTCTCTTTAGCTTTTTTTTTATGATGATGATGTTTACATAGCTGAGAAGGATGTATGCCCATGTGGACCACCAACTAGGGTGAGGAGAGTCAAGGAATGGGGGAAAGTGGATGAAACAACTGCTTTCAATCTTCCTTTATTTTCTTCCTGTGTCTGGGGGAGCAGGAATAGAAGGGGAGAAGCTATACCCAGCATTCTAACCACATCAGTACCTGGGGATGGAGGATGGCCACCCGATGTCATCCCAGGGTTCCTAATGTGAAGCATGTTCTGAGGGTACTGCTTAAGTGATTTCGATAGTTCTGAGATGCTATTGAGTTCATTGCTCCAAGGTTGAGGAAATTCTTCTGAAGTCCATTGGCATGGTCCACCTTACCTCATCATTTGCCAGTGGATGCTGCAGCCTGGCTCAGCCTTGCCTGTCCCTGATCCAGCTCATGCTGGTGGGTGCAGCAGCATAACCCAGCCCAACCAATTCCCAGCCATATCACTAATGTGAACTGACTGGTGTTGTGGCCCAACCCAACCTCTCTGCACCCTGTTCTGGTTCTCACATCTGCCAGTGAATGCTATGAAATGGCCCTGCCCAGCCCACCCCCAGACCTGACCCACATATCTATATACTAACAGGTACTATAACCTGGCCTGGTCTAGGCTCAGTTCTTGCACTCACCAGAAGGGACTGCATCCTGACAGAGCAGTTCCCAAAGCTCCTCTATCAGGCCACCTCCCAGTCACAGATGTCACACACACTGATAAGATCTTGGCCCAGCCTAACTTGATCTGCTTCCTATCCTGGCAACTACAGTGGCCTTGCTCAACTGGTGTACACCAATTCCAGCTCTTACCATTGTGTGCTACAACCTAGCCATGCCTGACCCACCCCAAGACCCAGCTCTCATGTGGTTTAGCAGCTGCTGAGATCTAGCCCAGCTGGTCCTACATCCACCCTGGCTCTTGCATTCACCAGCAGGTGCTGAAGCCTAGCTCTGTCTGGCACAGTGTGTGCTAGTTTTGCCTGACCCTGCATGGTCTGCCCCCCAAACCAACTCACATACCTGCCAACAAGTGGAGCATCCTTGACCTGGTCTGGCTCACATTCAGCCTCAAATCTCATGCTCATAAGAAAGAGTTATAGCCCACCTGAGGAGTTTCCCCACCAGGCTCATTCCCAGAACCAGATCTCACTCATGCCAGCACGTGCTAGGCCCTTACCTAGTGTAGTCTACCTCCCATTCACAGCCTTCATGTGTACTGATGAATTTTGCAGCCCAGTCTGCCTTACATCCTATCCCTGGGTGCAACTACAGGTGTTACAGCCTGAACCAACCCAGCTTGTTCCCAATCCCGATACCCATAAGTGTTGAGTTCCATGATTATGCCTAGTTTGAACTATCACCATCCCAGTTCTCATGCAAACCAGCAGGGATTGCAATCCCACAGGGATTCCTGGATGCTGGCTTTGCCATGGCCAACCTCCAGCTGCTTCAGGGATTTGGGAACAAACCAGTGATGTGTGTGTGTGTGTCTGTGTTTCTCCCTCTCGGCCAGTAACCTCTATTTTTCAGAGAAGTAAATGAATCTTGTTTTAAAAGGTCCCATCTGTAAGCTTCCAGCTCATGACTTACCTCTCTGACCCGGGAGGCCTGTGCTTGCTCAATCCGATAGATGATGTCCTGCACCGGGCCTGGGATTTCAAGCTCCGGGACCGTTGGACTATCTAGGGTGTCTTCGGAGTTTGTTCTTTCAATGGGGGAATTGATGCCATTTTCTTCTAAGGCAGATTCGTCAGCTTCCACACTTCCCATTTTGATGAAATGCTGAGAATTTGGCGATTTTATTCTATTTCTCCTTTTTTTCACAGAATCTAGCAGACAGATGCTAACAATGGTGCCCACTAGGAAGCTAAAGAAAGGCCTTTTGAGGGAGTTGCTTACCCCATTAGCAACCCCGTTTGCTAACCACTGACTTCAGGTGCCAGTGAGGTCACATTAGAACCACGGTGACGTTTGCCAGTGACTCACAGATTCTTTAAGGGGACCTTGCAATATAGGCCTCACATTGCCTGTGACGTGAGAGTAGGAAGGTGAAGAGGTTGGGAAGATAGCAAAGAACAGACAACAGGAACACAGAAAGGAGTGGAAGCGATATCCCTGCTGAAATGAGCTTAAAAACCCACATGGTAGAGTTCAGGACAGAATACATAAAATGTAATTCTGTTTTACTCTCTTCCTGGGATTTAAGTATTTTCATGTTTGTGATGAAATAAGTGCATTTCAACTTCCTCAGCCATCTTATAACTTTTCTTAGTCATGTGGCAACTTGAATGTTTGGCTGAAGATGAAGGTCGCTCTCTTTGTCCTTTCCTCTGCTCACACATCTTCCGAATATCACCCCCCGCCCCCAAAGCTGGGACTCGGCCAAACTCAAGCCAGGAGCTGGGAATCCAATATGGGTCTTCCACATTCACATGAGGTCTCCCATATTGAATTAGGAACCAGGCACTACAGCCGAGGCGTCACCTGCCTCCCAGGACTCACTTTAGCAGGAAGTTGGACTCAGAAGCTGAGGCACTCCAGTATGAGATAGCCTCTTAACCATTGCTCTAAATACCCACTCCAAAGAGTGGCTGTTTTAAGTGATGACAACCAAAAAGTGAAAGTCGCCATTTAGTCTGTTTTCCAGTGATGAAAAGAGAGTGGAGCTCTTATCTCTAATCTTCATGGCAGATCTGTTCCTTGCTAGGTGCCATAGGAGAAATGAGCTTGTCCTTGGGGGTCTCCAGCCAGCCAGGCACAGGTGATGATCACTGGGTCTTTTTCTTCCTGATATATTTTAAATCATTGAGGATCTGAAATCAGTGTGAGGTCAGTCAGTCACATTCTGTGACAGAATCTGCCCTGGAATCAGCAATTTGTCCTAACAAAGTCACCCTTGAAGCAAAGAGGGTTGGGGCTGGAGGAAGAGAGGTAGCACTGGCCTGCATCCCTGGTCTCCCTCACTCCAGGGCCTGCCTGAGTCCTTGCTGCCCTGCAAGGGTGCACAGAGAAGGCCTGTCCTGCCCAGAACAGCTGAAAGCCTCGTTTGCTACTCTAGCCATTTTGCTTCCAAATCCAAGGGAAGGAAGAGAAAAGCTGTGATGTCAGGAGACAGCTGAGAAGCAACCAGCAGCTGTCCTGTCCCAGTTCTACTGGGAGGTGGCCTGCAATGGGGCAGGTGGCAGGTCCTGTCCACAGAGGTAGGGCAGTCCCATACCCACTCTGGAAGTGGATCCAGAAGTGGAAGGGCCCAAAGTGAACACTTGGTACATTTATGGATGGCCATACTAGAGCTGCCCCTCGTACCCATAGGGAAAATGGCTATTGGTTGCTGAATCACACTCTGCACTCATTAACAGGTGGCCAGGGGGCTTGCAGCATGGGCAACAGGCAGCTTTAGAAAAGCTGGACAGTGGGCCCAGCAATGTGGTCTAGCGGCTAAAGTCCTCACCTTGAACACGCCGGGATCCTATATGGGCACCGGTTCTAATCCTGGCAGCCCCACTTCCCACCCAGCTCTGTGCTTGTTTGTGGCCTGAGAAAGTAGACAAGGACAGCCCAAAGCTTTGGGACCCTGCACCTTGTGGGAGATCCAGAAGAAGCTCCTGGCTTCAAATTGGCACAGCACCGGCCATTGTGGTCACTAGGGGAGGGAATCTGACTTTCCAGTGAAAATTTAAAAAATGTTTTTAAATAAAATTAGAATCAAAAGTGCACACTGGCCTCCGGAGTCTGCAGCCTGGGTGACCAAAGCGCGGCACCTATGGGGCCCAAGGGAGGCGGCTGTGGCTGCATGCCAACTCAGATCCCCGAGATCCCCTCTCCCCAGATCCCCTCTCCCCGATTTTCTGGGCCTCAGACCCGCTTTGGAAAGGGAAAGGACAGCCCTGGACAATGGAGGGAGGGACTTGAAAGGCAAGGTGCCCGCCCTGAAATCTCTGCAATCTCTGCTGGGCAGAAAGCCTTGGGAGCTTGCACTCCGCCTCTCGCTGCCCAGGAACTGCTGTCCATCTTGAGGCAGGTGCAGTCAGCGCCGCCAGGAATGCTTGCTCCTGAACACAGCTGAGCACTTGGCCCAGGCCAGACAGTGGTCTGGGTGGGAGTTGGCGGGCACCCGCCTCAGCCTCCTGTGATGTGGAACAGAACAGATCCACAATCACTTCCTCCTCTTTTCATGGGCTCTCAAAGCCAGAGTAAATTTTTGAACAGGCCCTCGGCGTTCACAAGGTGGCAGTGCTGTACCGTCCCAGTGTGGGCCTGGACACCAGTGTGAGGTGGCGAGGACTCAGGCCCCCAGAGTCACACTTCCGACAAGGGCCGGGGAGGGCGGTCTGCGATTGCAGATCCTCCTGAAGGCTCCCCCTCCCCGTTTACACTGAGGCTTTATAAAGCTTGATGGTTTAAATGGTAAAGATCAAAAATGAGCAAAAACAGAAAGAAATAGATCATAATCCTACCAGTAGTGTAACAGTATAATTTGTACATATCTGTATTTTACAAACAAAATTTTAAAAATGGTAACATCTACCTGCCACTATTCCTTAACAAAATGTAAGGTTTGGGTTTGTTTGTTTTTAATTATTTACATAACAGGGCCTGGTGTGGTAGTATAGTGGCTAAAGTTCTCATTTTGCATGCACCAGAACTCCATATGGGCACTGGTTTGATTCCCAGCTGTTCCATTTCCCTTCCAGCTTTTCCTTTCCAGCTTCCTGCTTGTGGCCTGGGAAAGCAGTCAAGAACAGGCCAAAGCCTTGGGACCTGCGTTGGAGACCCAAAAGAGGCTCCTGGCTTCAGATGAGCTCAGCCCCAGCCATTGTGACCACTTGGCGAGCACAAGTGAGAAAAATCTCTGTCTCTCCTCTAAATCTGACTTTCCAATAAAAATAAATGGATCTTTTTAAAAATTTAATTATTTACATCACAAACAGAGCAACCACTCCCACTCACTGGTTCACTCCCCACGTTGCCACAATGGCCAAAAAGCAGAATCGGGAGACTCACGCCAGGTGAGTTTTGAAGGTAGCAGGGACCCAGTGACTCGAGCCGTCATCACCAGTGTCTCCTAGGGTGTGCACACCAGGAAGTCACATCAGGAGCTGGAGCTGGGTATCAAACCCCTTATTCCAGCATTGGAACCACTGCACAAAATGCCCAACCCAACCAACATGTTCCTCTGTCAACCAGTATGCCGTTACCCAACCCTGATCTGACTCAACTGTATCCTCGAGGGTATGTTTTATATAGCCACTCCTCTGGCGTTGGATATTTAGGCCATTTCCTGTGTGTGTGCGTGTGTGTGTGTGTGTTAAGCAAGTCTATGCAGTGCTGAATCCCTTGGTGCATATCCTGGCAGCTGAATCACCTGCTGGAAGGTTGTTGCAGAGCCCCGAGTAACAAGCAGTTTCTGCTTCTGCTGCCTCTTGGACCCGGGGCTGCTCCAGTCTAGGCCATCTACCAATTCACTGGTTTTGCACTCATTCTGTTCAAGTTCAATCAGTACTGTTCAAGGCCATCTTTTGAGGCTTCTTCACCTTTACTCAAACCTGGCGGGGGGTGGGGAGCATTCTGAGCTCTTAGCACAGTCCTGGGTGTTATGAACCAGAGGATAGAGGATCTGTCTCTATGGAGTTTCTCTATAACTCTGCCTTTCAAATAAATAATAGTTTTTTTTTTTTAAGATTTAAAAAAGTTCACTTTTATCCCTTACTATCTTTTCCCCATTTTTAGGAACCACTGTCATGTGTTTGCAGTCTTTGTCATTTTATGCATCTATTTTGCCTTTTGCAAACACCTGAGGACATTCCAGAAAGGTCACAAAAATGGAATTCAAAGATAAATCTATTTTGATGCAAAAAAAATGGAATTACGTTCTACATGTCCCACAGTGACACCGTGCAGTGTCCGCTGCTGCACCAGCTGGCCAGATTACATTCACGCCAGTCTGACAGGTGAAACCCTGAAGCCCCTTCTCCCACGGCTTGGGCTGGAGCCCGGCCATGAGTACTGTCCAAAACCGCACCATGGCTGATTCAGAATCATGTGCAACACACGTGCCCATTTCCACTGCTGCCCCACGGGTGGTCGCAGCAAGACAGCCCACACTGGTATCATTAATGACTCCCCTCTATTTGCTGATTAGTTAGCAGGCTTTTGATTTTTTGTTTGTAACCTCCCTTTCCTGTTCCTATGGACTTCCAGCCTCCCCCTCCTTGCTGCCATGCCCCATAGTCCCTTCCTCAAAACTCTGCGTAGTCACAGAGCCCTGACCTGTGCCCCCCCCCCCGACCTGTGCTACCTCACCTCATTCTGCATTGATGCCTGCAGGTCAGGGGCTGCATGGGATTGTGGGACTCGTGGTCAGGTAGGGGCCAGAGTTGCCCAGTTTTCCATGACAGTTAATAGGAGGCTGGCAGCATCCCAGCGAGGGAAGAGGAGGCCTCTCTATTTCAGGTCAGAGAACAGGAACTACCCAACCCACAGGCTCCTTGTGTTGGAGTAAGGGGAGGGGTTTTAATGCACAGGAAGCCTCACAGCACAACCCCACACGTAACAGGGGTGTCACAGAACTGCTGCAGGTGCACAGGGAGACACTGGAGCTGGCACTGATGGAGGCTGCTCCCTCCCAGCTCCACCACAGAGGACAGAGATGACCTCTCACAGCTGCAGACATCAAGCTGAATGGTCATCCCCCAGCCAGTGTGTGAAATGGGTGTGTCAACACAGAGCCTGGAGGAGGGGGCAGCAAACCTAGGCTGGCATTCAGGTGCTGTGGGCAAGGATGAGGCATGGGCTCCGAGTCTTCCCCCGCCCCCTGCCTCCAAAGACAGCTCCATTCCCTTGCAGGCCAGGATTGGGAGAAGTGTGTTTCCCAGTCAGACTTCTGCAAGGCTCCACCCCAGTGGGCACCCTCAGCTGGTCA